AAGAAGAAGAAGAAGAAGAAGAAGAAGAAGAAGAAGAAGAAGAAGAAGAAGAACAACAACAACAACAACAACAACAACAACAACAACAAAAAACAACAACAAAAAACAACAACAACAACAACAACAACAAAGTATGCAGACACAGATTTCAGAGAGATGACCACTCATGATCAGGAAGTAGATGCGAACAGAAAAGTCACGCAGCTCGTGTCTGCTAATGACTGCTGTTTTTATTGTGTTGCTTGTATATTGTTTTTGCTGCATTTTTTTGTTAATTGACGAGAGCTCCGCTGTACAGCTGTGCTCATTCCACTCTTTTATTCACCATTTTTTTCTCTCTCCACAAGTATTCAAAGTGTGACAGAACCGTGAGATTCTGATAAGGAGTTTCGTCTCCTTTTTCTCAACCTGTCGGTGAATGTTTTTGCCCGAGGTGAGATTCGGCCTTTATGCGCCAAGGTGTAGTTTTTGGGAAGGGGAGGATAATACATGTATTCAATTTTTCTTCTACTTGAAATAATGCAATAGAGACTATTGTGCTCTTGAATTTCCTGCAACTTGGCCATGCCCAAACTCTAGAAATTGAATTTGAAACTGCTGTTGAGCGTTTCGCAGATCAGCCAGTTCTGTATCCTAGTGCTGAGCCAGTATAACATGTCGATTAAGGTACGGTTTCTTTTCATGAAAGGCATTTCAAAAATTTTTGTTTACCTACATTCAGTGAAAGAAAGAAAGTTTTCTCTTTAAAAAATATTTTCCTGAGGTGGATGATTCCTATTTCCACCCTACCCCCTCAAAACTACCTGCACCATGACAACCATGACACCTATATACATAAGTATCTTCCGTCACACGCTCTAAAACATCCTAATATGTTTGAACAACATTTGCTGAAAGTAATTAACTTACCAAGGGCGAACCGTTAGTTCAGTTGGTATCAGTGATAACGAACAACCCTTGCCCATTCGCTACAACAGAATTACAAAGTTATATCTGCTCAGTAGGGCTTCTTACTTTTGAGAAACATGACGCAAAAATACATGAGTTTCACAGCATGTCAAGGTTATTTCGCATGCAATTCTATGAATAACTTGGAAACAACTCTGAATAATCTTACGATTTTGATAAAGCAGATAGAACATTTAATTTCTATCTTCATGGTCCTGGTAACTCAAAACGGCCAGAAATGTCAGATAAAACTAACAATTCTAAGGTAGCGCATTATCAGTTATCTAGAGACAAAGACCTATGAAGGAACATGTCTCTGAGAATCACCTAAAAAAAGGGGGGGGGGTGTGAATCTACAGGTGCCCATCAGGCATTGAATCGGAATGCCCAATGTGTACTGAGTTCAAAACAGTGCGTGGACTACCCATTTATACGCGTGCGGATATTCTTAGTTTTAGTAGAGTTTTTACGGCGCTCACAACTGCATAAGGTCATTATATGAGCGCCAAGGGGTGGATGTCAACAGAGAAGTCAGTACAGGGAATCAGGCTTACTCTGCTCACCTCTCAAGCTTCAACAGCACAAAGTCTGCTTCGACCATCAAGACACCCCGGAAATAGCGAGTCACAAGAGAGTGATAAACATACAAAAGAAGTAGAGGGGAAATGACGATAGAAAGGATTATGAAAGAAAAAGCAGCAGTTCCCCGTATGCAGTTCGGGCACAGTTATGAGCATGCCATTGATGAATCAGCCCCTTTACAAGTCCACTGAGCTTAAGAACATGTTGATGTCCCCCCTTTGGGAATGGCCTAAAGACAACTTTAGTCAGTAGCACCGCCCCGGGGAGTAGGCGGATATTCAACTCTCAGTGAAGTATGAAAATTAACAAAATAAAGATGGGTTGTGCCACCTAACCAAGCCTTCAACAAGAGCGCTCTGGTCCCACAGAGAAAACCAATTCCAGGATAAAGTCCACAGTGTTGTGGAGTCAAAAACTGTTGAGGAAGATGGTGGGGTGACAAGGAGAGGTGACACAAACCAGAAGGCTCAGAATTAGGGCTGGGCAATGAGTCGGTTTAGCAAATTCCGAATAATATGTTAGTTCAGCTCTTCGGTAAATAAAATGTTATGAACCGATTCAGCAAATAGGTTAAAACTACTTTGACAAATGGGTTAGCATCACTTCAACGAATTGGTGCATCCACTTCGGCAAACGGGTCAGTAAAGAGAGTTGAGTCTGAATTCGGATAATGTACTTATTGAGGATTATCCGATTTTCAGGATATTTATCCGGATTTTGCCCACCTCTACTCAGAATCAACTTCCCTCCGGCTAACTCGAAAGAAATCAGGCAAAACTTTAATGTTGCCCTCATCTGGAACCTGGCCAACAGAGCTGGGTATCAACAATTACGATCAATGTGTGGGGGTATTTGAGGATATTGCCTTCAATATATTATGTAAAGAGCTTTTCAGTGTGAAGAGCAGCAAAGCGAAGCAATCTCCACTAAACAACAAGCAGGAAACAGAAATTTAAGACCTTAGAAATAGATACAGATCTAGATAAATAAAAAGATTCTGAAAACAGTATCAGCAGGAGAGAAGGAAAGCTCAAAGAACTTGGAAATGAAATACAACTTAAAAGGAAAGAGACGTCGCAGTCTGTAACTCTGTAACGCTGAATATTGGAAGAAGAAGGTGTGTGTGTGTGTGTGTGTGTGTGTGTGTGTGTGTGTGTGTGTGTGTGTGTGTGTGTGTGTGTGTGG